GTTATCAAACAGGTTAAGTAAACTAGTGGTAATTTGGGTGCCCTCTACCTTGATTGGATTGTTTTGTATTTATATAAATTGGGGATAACGTTAAAAATGTGATTATATATAGTAGCAGACCAGTAGGGGCGTGCAATTGGTGATCCGATTCAAGATCACGATGCAATTTGGACTTTGGAACGCCATAAAACATTTTTCCCTAGCGTATCTCGTAAGGCAATTTTTAAGGGTAGTTTATAAAGCACATTAGAAAGCGAGCAGGCAAAATCGGCGACGAACTAAATAAATTCTCCCGCGACTTGGTTGTTAATTTTTTTAAAGCGTATTTTTGTCCTTTTTTTTAAACATATATGAACCAATCAAGAACTAGTCCCTAAAAATGAATTTTTAATTGGAGTCAAGGTGAAACACGTATTTGTACAAGGGTAATCAAAATCCTGACAGCCAAAACCCCGCATTTGATTAGGATCCCTTTTCCGTTTTCCATGCCAGCATTCTGGCCGTCGGGATTTTTGCCTGTCGTGATTTTGCCTGTCGGGATTTTGGCCTGCCTGGTCGAATGCAGTTACAAAAGTTAACCGAATTTAAGCAGCTGAACATTCGACAAGTAGAAAAGGCAAAAAACCCCTCCTAACGATCATTTTCGCGTTCAAAGAAAAATAGAAAGTTAGATTAATGGCACGGATCACTGCCAATAAATGGGTTAGAAGTCCTAAAACGGTTGAAACACTTTTAACTGGAAAACGGCCCGAATTACAGTAGAAGAAATGGTAAATCATTAGTAACGTGAATCTGTGTTCCAATTATCCCAAATGACGTTTTCGACTTCCAAAGGATATCAAAATGAACCAATTAACGTCCGCGGCCAACTCCCGCTATACGCCGTTTCGTGAAACATTTTTTCGTTAATTTCTATAGTTTTTTTTACTTGAAATTGCAGCATCCACAAGACCAACAACTTCATTTAAATTAATTGCTTTCAAAACGAGCACCAACCTGGATCTCCTCCTTGGGGCGCCGGCCGCCGGTGCGTCGCGGCGGCATCGCGATGTGTGGTTGATAATCTGAAGCGTAGGGGGGTACTTTAAATGATAAAAAACCTCTGAAAATCACCGTTTTTCTCGAGATTGCACGTGTTAATGGTAATCGAAATCCCCCGCGATTTTTCACAAAAAAATGTTTCGAAAATGCACATACCGCGATCACTATTAATGGGCCTAATCTGCGGTTCGGCCACCGACTCGTCACAAGAAATGTAAAAAAATACATGTATAAAATACACTATTGTTTTATGTATAGTAGGATAAACAATGTTCAACTATTACAATAATATGGTTCAAAATACGCATTTAAAGAAGTAACTTCCAAAAAATTAAAAATTCAGGAAATATTTCAAGACACAGATGTTTCATGAATTTTCAAACCTCAGTGATTTTTTTCTAGCTTTAATCGATTGAAATTCCGATGAAATATGCGTTAAATGCTCTATTTAAATCATTTACATAACAGTGCTGAAATATCAAAAAGCATCTTTCAAAATACTGACGGTAAATAAATAACTTTCTCAAAATAGAAAAAGGGGCGAGGATGTTTCCAAAAAGATGTTTCATCGATAGTTCAAAGTCGGAATTTGACGGTAATGGTGAATAGTTCGCATAATTTTTGCGGTTAATGTTATGTGAAAAAAAATACGTTAAAACCTTTCCTTAAATCCCCTGATATAAGCAATAATAAAGTAGTTAAATTATTAGAAAAAATTAGTAAAAAATACCAACCGTAAGGATGGGCCTGTTGCTGGAAGAATTGGCCATGGCCGGGCAGCTGGCGAAAGAGGGCCTGGTCGGCTGGTGGGATCTATAAAAACGAGTTGTTTAAACGTATTTTTAATTCATTAAAATGTCTTCAATTATTAAGTGTTAGCTTTCCTGCACGTTTAAAAGAATTTATTTCCATTTGGTCTTCTAAATTTATTTTATTTTATTTCCTATGTCCAATTTTTCTTTTACTATTTCTATTTCCTATTGTTTACTTGAATTTAAATAATTTCTGGAATTTTGAGTTTAGGGGAATTTCATAGTTTGTTTCACCTCCCCTCAACTTGCCTGGATTACCGTATAATGGAAAATCCGGAAAATGACGTTTTCATGAAACACATTTTTTTTAAAATTTTCCGAAAAATTGTGTAGAATTGAACAATGGAATTTTCAACTTTTTAAGCAATTTGAAAATACCCTGATCAAATCTACCGCAATTGGAGCTTTAAGAAAACGGACCCGAAAACATAGTTTTTGTAAGATTAGTGCTATCGTTATCCTAATCCTCATCATAGGGTATTGGAAAATTCGAACCTTTCTCTTTTCTGAAACACAGTTTTTTTCCAGCATTTTTTCAAGCATCGCTCAGTTAGTTTTTGGCTGTCGGGATTTAGGGATTTTACCCCGAAAAATTCGAAACTAACTTGATTAACAGTTCTTTTCAAAGCTGAACAAATTAAGCGCATTCATGCAGACCTGACTGTCTAAAGTTACGAAACACATTTACGGAAATTTTGAAATTCGAAAATCATAAAAAACCGCCTGGACCCGGGAAAACAGGTAACTGTTACAAAATTCGTGATAAATTAGCGCATTTAGGAAAACCCTTAAAATGGGCTATACGTTACAAACAGATTAACTTAAAGTTGAATTTTTTTCCTCACAATTTTTTCAACGTATAGAGCAATTCTAAGCCCGTCAGGCCAAAATCCCGACATGGTTGGTTTGAACGGCGCTCCATTTTAAACAGCTGTTTTGCATTTCGGCATTTTGGCTGTCGGCATTTTGGCGATTTCCCTGAATATTCGAAACGAACTTTATTAGCCATTTTCCCTAATTTCAGTAAGCCTAGTTCAACATGCTGATTGAGTACGAATTAAGCGCATTCATACAGGCCGCACTGCATAAAGTTACGAAACACATTGCCGGAAATTTCGAAATTCGAAAATCATAAAAATCCGCCTGGACCTCGGAAAAGAGGGAACCTTTACAAAATTCGTGATAAATTGGCGCGTTTATAAAAATACTATTATAACAAAGTAATAAATTACAATTTGTTACCAATATATAAACTTAAAATGTAACTCATACGAGTAACTGTTGCTGCAAAACAGTATCCCTGGATTATCGAATGCATCGCCAACAATTCATTCTCGAAAATAAATGAAACTTTATTTTTTTGCCCTGACTAAATCATGCAAGTTGAATCAATTAAGTTACAAAGTTAAATGATTGAAAATCAAGGGCTCCACAAGGTTCAGATAGCTAATCTCATATAAGGCTCTAAGGCTTGGCGATGATATGAAACACATTTTTCGCCGATAGCGGCGCCTGATTTTTTCAAAACACTGAGGCAGAGCCGGCTGAAGAATTGAGGAAATTTTGTATTTCCTCAGAAAATTGGTGATAAAAATGTTCTTAAACCCAATAATCTCACTGTAATTTTTATCTATAAAATATGCTTTATATTTAATGACTGAGGAGCGCAGGCAATTACCACAAGCTAAAAACATTAAACGTCCTAAATATTTGAAACATTTTCCGTTTTGTTTCGATCTAAACATGGGAAATAGATCTAGCCAAGGAACTATTAATCCTGGCGATAACATAGACTTCATAAAGTTATGAAACACATTTCTTAAATCTTCAAAATCCGGCATTTTTTATCTTGCTTAAGTTCCAGGAAGATAGCACAGTTAAATATTGTATCAAGGAAACGATACTCCGTATCACGCGAAATGGAAAATTTAATAGTGCCAAAAATTAGAAACAAACTTTCTTTGACTCTTTTCCTGAAAATAGGCCCAGATGCTGAAAAGGACGTTATATTTTTATATTAAGGACGTTTGGATAGATTTTATGATACACAAGTACTGGCTAATAACGTGAATTAGAAACATTGATACTCGAAAAATTTAAAAACAGATTTTTCCATTTACAATACCCCCATACCTACCATAAGCACCATCATTATGTTAAGACTATTAAGCTTGTTCCGATAGAGCAGACTTTAGAAAGTGATGAAACGCATTTTTGAAATCTTCCAAAATCGACGATTGATCTTACTTAATTTCCAGTAAAATAGCATATTTAATTATGGCATCTAACTACGGAGTATTAACACCAAACGAACAATTTAATAATGCCAAAAATTAGAAACAAACTATTTTTAGCTTTTTTTTCCTGAAAATAGGCCCAGATGTTGACAAGGAGATTATAGTATTAAGCGCGTCTGGATAGATTTTATGATAACTGTTAACTATTTACTAAAGTGATTTAAAACATTCATACTGAAAAAACCTAAAAACATATTTTTTGCACCCAGAAATCCCCCAAAAACCGACCATAAGCAAAAACATAAATTTCTATATATTAAGGTTGTTCCGATAAAGCAGAATTTATCAAGTTATGAAACACATTTTTTAAATCTTCTTAATTCGGCAATTTTGATCTTGCTTAATTTTGACTAAAAAACATATATTTTTTATGGCATCTAAATAACCTCAACGGGGTATTAAATTAAATAAATTGGAGACAAACTTTTCCTGAAAGTAGGCCCAGATGCTGAAATGGATGTTATATTTTTATATTAAGGATGTTTGGATAGATTTATGCAACCATCGATTCGCTATTAACGTGAATGAGAAACATGGATACTCGAAAAACTTAAAAACATATCTTTCCACCTCAAAAAACCCCAAAAAAACCGACGATCAGCACAATCAGCATTAGTAACCATGTTCCGATAGATCAGACTTTATAAAGTTATGAAACGCATTTTTGAAATCTTCTCAGTTCGCCAATTTTGATCTTGCTTGATTATGACTGAAAAACAGATTTATTTATGGCATCTAAATCACCTCAACGGAGTATTAACCGCCAAAGAAGAATTTAATAGTGCCAAAAATCAGAAACAAACTTTTCCTGAAAGTAGCCCCGATGTTGAAAAGGACGTTATCTTGTTATATTAAGGACGTTTGGATAGATTTTGCGATACATATCTGTTAGCCATTAACGTGAATTAGAAACATTAATACTTGAAAAAACGTAAAAACATATTTTTTGCACTTGCAAAACCCCAATAAATAAATATAAGCGTAGGTATAAGCCCAGATGTTGAAAAGCAAATTATATTATTAAGCGGGTTTTGGATAGATTTTATGCTAACTATTAACTATTGATTAAAGTGATTTAAGAATGTTCTTACTCCAAAAACTTAAAAACATATTTTTGCAAGTTACAAAAACCCTCATAAACCTACCATAAGCATCATTATCTAATCGCAAGGGGGCTGTGACGGGCCGTACCGATCAAAAACGAGCCGAAAAATCACCAAAAACTGACCATTCTCGGGGGTTATATAATTTTTGGGCTTATCAGTTGTCACCCCCCTCCTAATCTCTATGAACCGAAAAACTCGACTTGCCCAATTTTCTGAGCCCAAAAAATGGCTTATCTAGGCCTGGAGGTACTTTAAACAGCCTAGAATTACCAGTAAAAATATTAAATTAAAAATCGATACCTTGGGCTAGAAACTAGACGATTTCCAAAGGCTGAAAAACGTCATTCTCTGCCTGGCGAGCTAGATATCAACCTGGGTGATTCACCAAAGAATTTGGAGGGTTGGCGAATTTTTCTCTATTTTTTTGGAAGAGATAAGCAGCTGCTAAATTGGGACCAGATTTGCATCTGGAAAACCTTTTTTATTAGCAAAATTTGGGCTTTAGTTTTGCAAAATAGTGTTTCAAAAATTTGTTGGTTTAGCTAATTTGGCGAAACATTTAATATGGTTTGTATATGCGACCGAATCTCTTGCACTCGGGCAGGCTAGCAGAGATCATTTGGGATCAGAGAGAGAGGGGGAGGGGGCAGGCTAGCAGAGATCATTTGGGATGAGAGAGAGGGGGGGGGGGCAGGCTAGCAGAGATCCTTTGGGATGAGAGAGAGGGGGAGGGGGCAGGCTAGCAGAGATCATTTGGGATGAGAGAGAGGGGGGGGGGGCAGGCTAGCAGAGATCATTTGGGATGAGAGAGAGGGGGAGGGGGCAGGCTAGCAGAGATCATTTGGGATGAGAGAGAGGGGGAGGGGGCAGGCTAGCAGAGATCATTTGGGATGAGAGAGAGGGGGAGGGGGCAGGCTAGCAGAGATCATTTGGGATGAGAGAGAGGGGGAGGGGGCAGGCTAGCAGAGATCATTTGGGATGAGAGAGAGGGATAATTCTATTAAAAATAAAAATTGAACTATTAAAAATTTCTCGCTTATTGGGTAGGATAGTTCAAGGCCAATCAGCAGAGATTCTTTGCGGAATCAAATCTCAAAAATTGCTATGAACAATTCCGAGCCGTCAATAATTTTTAGCAGAGAATATTTAGGAAATCCCACTAAAATGATCAGGCTTCTAGAAGATAATCAAAACAGCACGTTAAGCAAGGATTTTCAAGAAAACCACGAAGTTTCGATTAATCCAGCTTTCAAAAAATAGAGAACCTATCGCGGGAAACATAAAATTTTAAAAATTTGAAAATTCGTCAAAGGCCAACTAGCAGAGCTCCTTTGCGAAATGGCAATGCTTCTGTTAGTTGTGTCGCGTAGGTTTTTAAGCAGCCGCTGAACCGAGGAAGAATATTGGGACTTTTCGGGACTTTACGTAATGAATGCACGAAACATAAAATTTTAGATGGAACAACGAAGGACTCTGAAACGAAGAATTCTGAAAATTACTTTTTAGGACCAACTAGCAGGTATGCAGCTAATTCAGATCGTATTAATTAAGGTTATTTCACGGTTCGTAATCCTTGTTCGCAGCGAAACATTAAAAATGTTAAAAACGGCGTAAAACAAAAGGTTAGAAATTCGATCGGAGTCCAATGTCAGGGATTTCTGTTAGCAATTTCAGCTTTCAAGAATATGATAGCAGAGCTCCTGCGGGAAATCGCATGAGAATACGTTAAGCAGGTTAACCAAGATGTTTTCGTGAAACAGTCACTCTTGAATTAATCCAGAAATTACAAAAATCAAGAAGCGATCGCACGAAACATCCCTTTTTCAAAAAAAAGAAAATGTGGCTCAAGGCCAGATAGCAGAGATCTTTGCGGAATTGCAAAACTACGGTATTAATTAAATTGAGTAGGTTTTGAAGCAACCGCTAAAGCCGACGAAGCATATTGTGACTTTTCGGCACTTTACGTGGCAACTGCACGAAACATAAAAATTTAATGAAAAGCGAAAATTTCTTGAATTTCAATTCAGGGCCAGCTAGCAGAGATTCCTGGAGGAATTTCCTCAGCTATTAATCAACCCCATTAAATTGGGTAGGATTTTAAGAAAAGAAGGAGAAGATCACATTAGCCAATCGTTTTCTAGACAAAAGTTTGTAACTGCACGAAACTTCAAAATTTAACTAGAAACGAAAAATTTTGGGATTTTAATCCAGGGCCAGCTAGCAGAGGTTTTTTGTGAGATTGCAATACTGTAATATAATAAACCCCGTTAGATAAATTAGATTTTTAAGAAAACGAAGAAGCCTTCACATTCGCTATGCATTTTCTAGAGAAAAAGTTGCAACTACACGACATCAAAATTTCGAAAACGAAAATTCCCGAATTTCAAATCTAGGCCAGCTAGCCGAGATGCTTTGAGGAATTCAAAACTGTTGTAATAAATCGCAGTCAAATTTGGAAGGTTTTTAAGAATCTCTAAAGGCGTTCCATTAGCTTTGTATTTTCAAGTTAAAAGATTGTAATTGCACGAAACATCAAAAATTTAATTAGGGCAATGAAAAATTTTCAGATTTTAATTCAGGGCCAGCTAGCAGAAAATCCTTGAGGAATTTCAAGAGTTAAAAAATGGGTAGGTTTTTAGGAAACGAAGGAGATTATCACATTAGCCACTCATTTTCTAGACAAAAGTTTGTAACTGTACGAAACATCAAAATTTAATTGGCGCAACGAAAAATTTTGGAATTTCGATTCAAGGCCAGCTAGCAGAGATTCTTTGCGGAATCAACTCAACATAAAAGCCAAAAAAATCCCTACCATCATTCCCGGAGGTGGGCGAATCGAATCCGGCCTTTTCAGGCCCGGAATCGAACCTGGCGATGACGTCGCAGGGCGCTGTTCACCTTCAGAATCAGAATTTTCGGCTTCAGAGACTTCAGAGGCTTCATCATCGGCCTCGGAATCTTCAGAATCGACTTCAGCGACTTTGCTAGTCGATGGGCGATTCGACGGGTCTGGTGGAATCGGACCAGAGGTGTACCGTGTACGCTTCGCTCCAAATGCCGTCATGTGTTGTGGCTCGGAAGGTTGGCGTTTTTGAAGGCCGGGGAAATGGGACAATTTTTCGTGTGTTTCAGGGTTTGTAGGCCGTAGTCTGGGTTTAGAACTGATAGTTTGTAGCCTGGAAGTTGAGGGTCCTGTAGCTTCGCCATAGCTTGAATTCGGCATTTTGTAGTTTGTAGTCTGTCGCGGATCCAAATTCGTACTTTGTAATCTAGTGGAGCTTGTAGTTTGTAGGTCAGATTGACTAGTTGTAGTGTGTAGTCTTGAAGTAGAAGGTGCAGCTTGTAGTCCACTGGAATCTGTAGCCGGTAGGGTTGGCCAATTTGTAGCCTGTAACCGGATCGAACCTGGAGTTTGTAGCCTACTAGAATCTGTCCTTTGACCTCCTGCGGGTGGACTTGTAGTTTGTGGCCCGGTGGAATTTATAGCCTGTAGCCTATGCCAACTTGTAGTCTGGCTGACAGGGATATTTGTAGTTTGTAGCCTGGAGCTAGTGGCTGTACTTTGTAGCCCAGGCCAATTTGTGGTCTGTAGTCCCGCGCTAGATGGTGTAGGTTGCCTGTAGTTTGTAGTCTGCGTTGCCCAAGGTACGGTTTCGCTCGAATACCTTCTTCTCTGCTCTGAAATTTGCATTTTTTGAGGTTGCGGGTACGGTGGGTGGAGCGGGCGGAATCCCGGTGGGTACCGTAGCCCCGAATTTCGTGGCGGGACCGGATACGGTACTTTTTCAGGACCAGGGGTCTCTGGGCTTTGTGGAACCACAGGGCCAGGAGCGCTGAACGGCCCGCAGAGGTTGTAGTTTGTAGCCTGTAGCGCGGGGGTGTAGTCCTGGGATTTCCGGAATGTTTCAGCGCTTCTGGGGTTCGGGAAATTCGGGTAGCCTGTAGTCTGTGCTTTCCTGTGCCTTAAATCTGTACTTTCTAGTCTAGCGTCGAATTGGCCAGTATTTGTAGCCTGTAGCCCAGGCTGTAGTCTATACCCGATAGCAGAGGTAGGAAAGTTAGAATCTGTAGCCTGTTGCCCAGGTTGTAGTCTAGGCCCGGTGCTACCAGGATTTGTAGTTTGTAGTCCGGGTTGTAGTCTGGGCTCAAAATTAATCGGGTGTGTAGTTTGTAGCCCAGAATGTAGCCTGGCATCAAACGGAGTTGGGCTTATAGGTTGTAGTCCAGAGGCAGAAAAATTTGAATCTGTAGTTTGTGACCGACTTTGTAGTCTGGCATCGAAGGGAGTGGGGCTAATAATTTCTAGCCTAGATCTTGAGGTAGAGGGTGGAAAATTAGGATTTGTAGTTTGTAGCCCAGCTCCTAAAGGGGCTGTAAAGGGAGTCGAATTTGTAGTTTGTAGTCTAGACACCGGGACGAGGTTGTAGCTTGTACCCTGTCGATTCTCCGCCAATCTCTCGACAATTTGATGCAAATTCGACGCCTGGGGCCTGGAATTGGCGGGCCGCCAGGCTGGCTGGCTCGAGCTCGTCGACGGCAGCTCCGGGTCGAAGAAGTCGAGTTCGGGCAGCTCGTCGGCCATCTCGCCATTTGGAGCCGGCCCAGAATTACGCAACGATACTAAAAACGGAATGTTTAGGCGAGAAATCGAAGAAAAGTGGGAAAATGAAGAAAAAATTGTTTAGAAAAGGACTTTGCAAAAATGTGTTTCATCAACTCTTCAAAACCAAGATTCTGCTGAAGACCCTAGTATTATGCTTATGAAGCTCAATTACGTAGCGATGCTAAAAATTGACGGTATGGTCCGGAAATCCAGGCGAATTGAGAAATCAAGTAAAAATACGTCACAGAGATTTTACAAAAAAATATGTTCCATCAAAACTTAAAAAGCAAGATTGTACTCGGATCGCCAGTATCACAATTCCATAGTCGAATTACTAACGATATTCAAACGTACTATGTATATAACCGACGAGATTCGAGAAATTCAAGAAAAATCGTTCAAAATTTTTTCACAAAAATATGCTTCGTCAAAATTTAAAATTAAAAACTTCGCGCAGCTGCCAGTACTTCCTTATTAGTTGCATCCGTATTTTCTTTTTATTAGATCGTTAAAAAATATCCATTGTAACGCCGGCGCAAGGTTTTTGACAGCGCTATTGATAACTTGTATCTCTATCTCCATTTTTGCTTTTACTACCAATGAAACAACCGAAAATCCAATGCTAATGACGATTTCGAAAAATCATGTTTAAAATAAAAATAAGGTCCGAAAATATGCTTCTGTTTATTGGAGGGGTAAGAAAAATGAAAAAGAAAGCTTTATAAAACTGGCAGCTATAAAAAACAAATAAAGTGTTTCAAATCAAATTCGTGTGACGGGAAATTTTTGGTTTTTTAATTACTCAGCAACCGGTAGATAAATTCGCAAACAACCCTTTATATAAAACTCTAAACTAGAGAAAAAGGCCACGTGTATCTAAGCTTGATTCGTATGCTATTTTAAATCGCTAAGGTAAATCTAGATCCCGTTGCTAAGGCTATAAAAACTGTAAATCCAATGCTCAAACGCTAGAAAAAAAATAGGTTTTAAAAAATGTTTCACATAAAATTTATGTTGCGGTAAACTTTTTGTTTGTTAATGCATGACATTGAATAATCAAACTACAAACTAGACAAAAAGGACAGCACACGCAGTACGATACGTTCCGTGATTCCCGGAATTTCCGTATTACGCCAAAAGTCGCCGAATCTGACGCTCTATTTTCATTTTTCAATTTTTCCTTTTTTTCGGAAATTATTGAGCATCTTGGCGACTGGCGGGGCTGTTTGGCGAACTTGTGCACTAATGTGGGATGTTTGTGCTTTTTGCATGGATTCGGGGGATTTGCGCGGAATCGATTGGATTCATAGGGCAGGGCAGGCTAGCAGAGACTCTTGGAGAGAAAGATTGGGGCTCGGAAACTTCAAATTTGATGTTTCAAAAAAGTTAAAAATCATGAAAAATTTTTGGCTGCTAATTTCGTAAAGATGCCGATTCGAAATCGATACGTGCGCTGAAGAAAAATTCAAATTTATTAAAGGCATTACAAGCGTTCGGTATTCTTAAAAACAACTTGAAAGCTAAACAAAAAGCGACCAAGCAGAAAATATATGTTTCATCGATCGCTAAAAAATGGAATTTTTTGAGCGATAATAGTCCATCTTCGTTGTTATGAATAAAAAATTTCCGAAATGATGTTTCAAAAAAATAAAACAGATGGAATTTTCGGGAAGGCAATTCCATATTGGCAGCTAATCAAATCGATATTACGCTGAAACATCAAAGGCGCGAGAAGTTCGAAACTGATTAAAGGTATGTATTAAACTTATTATTACATCATTAAAACACATTATTAAAAAACAACTCTTAAAATTCCCAAAATTCCCAAACAAGCGGTCCGACCCTTAGAAAATCCAGGTTTCATCGATACCTAAAAATCATAATTTTTTAAACCATATTAGTCGACACAGAGATTCAAGGCAAATCAATAAACAGGCTCCACACATTTTCGAAATACATCGAAAAATTGATTCGGGGATTTCGGCATTGTTTGGCTTGATAGGTCAGGGCAGACTAGCAGAGACTCTTTGGGAGTGAAAGCTTGGGATACCGAAACTTCAAATTTAATGTTTCAAGACAAATCAAAAACCTGGAAAGGTTCGAGACGGTAATTCCATCCGGACTGGCCAAACAAAATCGATACTGGCGCTGACTCATGGCTGCGGCGAAAATTCAAATCTGATTCCGGACATTGAATCAACTCAATATTATCAAAAAACAACTAAAAATTCGCAAAGATGCGATCCGGCTCTTAGAAAAAATAAGTTTCGTCAATAATCAGTCAATTCAAAAATTCTGGATAGTTAATCATCCGTCGTTTTCGTTCACAATATCAGAAATGTCCGTCGGACCGGCCAAATAGGAAACGAATACATCTGACGAAAGGACGTGAACGGACGTTAAATCCAGACGTTTTAAATATTATACACTTGTATCAAAAAATGGCGTGCTCAAAACAGTAGGAAAATGTTTATTTCAAGAAGGGCGGCGTGAAATTAAGGGTTACCGTATTAGTTGACCAAAGAATCCTGCCAATCAATGTTATGTTAATGAGTGATGTTAATAAAAAAAACCCCGTTCTTTAATTGCTAAGTAAGCAACTCAGAAAATCAATAAACTAAAAATTGTCAACCATTAAAAAGCGCGTGCCCAAAATTTGAAGAAAAAAATGTTTCGTAAAAGCGAAGAAACGAGGGCTTACAATATCAGTCAATACGTCGAATCTGACATAATTAAATATCGCAAAAAAGTTAATCGAGATTAGTATATATCAGAAATGCCGTGTTTCGTAGAAAATTATTATTTGTGAGATTTCCGTGTAGTTAGTGTGCGGCAGGATTTTCTTGGTTTTTGTCAATTCTGAGGTGTTGATTAAACAAATAATAGAAGGGCATTGCAGGGGTCTAAAGCATTCCCCGGAATTCCTGAAAATTAAACAATGCTTTTCAATAATTCCCAGAATATTGGATCCAATTTCGAGACGCTTTTTCGGTGAATTGAGGGAAATCAAAAAGATCCTCACAAATAAAAGTTAATATGCTTGAAAAATGAGCAAGATTCGCAAATTTACGGAGGCGATAATTCGTGCAACAGCGTCGAGATCTGGTAAAAAAAGTTCGTTTCACAAAAAATTATAAATGGCCAATTTGAAGAAGCTACGATCATTCCAAGTAAGGCGAGACAAATTATCTTCTCTATTCTCTCTGAAAGTTGTTTTTTAAATTTAAACGAGAAAAGATCATAAAAATTTTCAAATTACAAACAATGCGTTTCGATAATTCCCAGAATACGGGATTCGATTTCGAGCCGCTTTTTCGGTGAATTGAGGGTGGCGGATGGAAATGGAGGCCGGGAAAATGAATGAGTCAGCCAGGAGATGGTCGAAGTGCGTCTAATAAGGAAAATAACAGATTTTGATTGCACCGCACAGGAGCATCAAAACTTCCTTAAAAAATGTTTCA